GGTCATTTTTGATGATGCCTTGTCAACCACCTTCAAACGAATTACTGGCTCGCTAACCAAGTTTAGATCATCAAGAAATGACTGGTTCAAAATACTTCCTACATTCCAATCTTTGCAGTTCTAATGTACTAAGTCTGAAAACTGAAATGATTACTAGGTGACTAGATTATTTTTACCCAAATGGACAAAAGACCTATTTTGAGTTCTTCAATTCACCCCGACAAAAGTGCTGCTTGAATCGAAAGTATTCTTCAGAAATATAAATGTTCAATTCATCACTGAAATGTAAAAATAAACAAAAGAACTAAGAAATCAAACAGATACCCAACGCGTACAAACTAGAGAATGTGTACGAATAGCCTGGGTACCTCAGGGTTCCATGTTAGGTCCGGTACTGTTTGATCTGTATATTAATGACCTTGAGGTATTTATTGGAAATGCTGAGCTCACGTTTTATCCAGAGGATACCACTGCATCAATATCCGCTGAGGATGACGTTATTGAAAAAATGAGTGATGAAATGTTGAAAAATATGGATATATGGTTCTCTAATAATCATTCGTATCAAGATGTTTTGTCCGTTTCGATGCCATGCCATACCATTTCGTCAAAAATGAGTTTCATTCAGTCATCAAGTTCTACTTAACATATTTTGTGGAAAACAATCCCATCTGTGATTGTCTTCGTAATGGGTTGTGTAAATGGTCGATTATTATTAGTTCAAAGACGTGAGTCAACCAGTCAGTCAGTCAACCATCGAGAAACGATCACACATTTGACTCTTTATATTTTATTGTTCCTTTTCATTTGGAAGATTCTTGTCACCTTTGATATATGTGCTTCAGAGCAGATTTTCTAGCACAAGAGTTAGTGTAGCTCGTTGAGAAAATCTTCCAATCCCTTAATAACAAGGAGGTTGTGATTGCTGTATTTCTTGATATTGAAGAAGCATTTGACAATGCACTACCTAAATCTATAGGATTGTCTCGCTAGAAAAGGTATAGAATCGATCATAACTTGCTGGATCTATGCCATGCTAGTAAACAGAACTGCAACTATGACTCTTCAAGGCGAGGCTATCAGGTTCAGGGTCACCAGGGACTGCCCTCAAGGTGGGGTACTATCTCCTCTTCTGTGGTCGCTCCTGGTGGATAGTCTGCTTGATGCCCTCGACAAAAGAAAAGTTGATCTGCAAGCTTATGCAGATGACCTTGTCATCCTGGCAAAGTCCACGTCGGGAAGCGTAGCTTGTAATGTCCTCCAAAGCGCGTTGGACGTTGTTCACAGTTGGTGCCTGAGGGAGCAGATATCTGTCAACCCCAGCAAAACTGTGTTGATCCCCTTCACCGAGAGAAGGAAATTGGACGATCTAACGCCACTTTCCGTCAATGGTGTGGTCATTCCATTTGGATCGGAGGTGAAATATCTTGGCATTGTCCTTGATAAAAGACTCACCTGGAACGCTCACTTGGAAAAAGTTTTATACAAAGCCAGACTGTCTCTATGGACATGTCAAAGGATTGGTGTTGAGACTTGGGGTTCAGTTCCCAAACAAATCCATTGGAATAATGTGATGATTGTTAGACCAATAATCACTTCTGGTGCAATTGCTTGGTGGCCGACGGCTTTAAAGAAAACGGCCCAAGCGAAGCTCTCTGACTTACAGAAACAGGCTTGTCTGGCTATCAGTGGTGCCATCAGTAACACACTGTCAGCGGCCATGGAGATCCTTCTAGATCTACCTCCTCCCCACATTTTTCTGGAAAGAGAGGCTAGATGAAACTGCATACAGACTTGTGCACATGGCCAATTGCACGAATCAATTCAATGCAGAGTGCAACATACTGTTGGTTGACATTGGAAGTCACAGCATTCTGGAAATGACCTCTGATTTTATGCCTCCAACTGTCAACTACGAGCTGTCTTATAAAGAACTATTCCCGTGTAGAGAGGACTGGATCCTGCGGGAGAAGGAAATATTGAGAGCAGATAGTTGTTGGTTCACAGATGGATCAAAAACACCTTTCGGTTCTGGTGCAGGTGTTTTCAGTCGCAGGACCAGGACAAAGTTATCTGCCTGCCTAGGAACTTATGCGATGTATTTCAAGCGGAAATTTACGCTATTGTATTGTGTGCGGAGAGATTGGATGAATCCAACCTCACTCACAAGTCAATAAAAATATTCTCGGATAGTCAAGTGATGTTGGATGCTCTTGGCTTCTACCAAGCAACGTCTAAATTGGTATCAAACTGCCAAAAAAGACTCTCCTCAATAGGAAGACTAAACAGATTGTCTCTGGTCTGGATTCCTGGCCATATACTGGTGGAAAGGCAATAAAGCTGCTGACTCTCTTGCAAAGGAGGGTGCTGCAAGCGGCTTCATTTGACCAGAGCCTGTCATTGGCATTGCTTTGGGCTTTGCCAAACAAACACTGAACACCTGGATGGCAAGAAGAGTTATGGACTTCTAACAGAATCTTCCAGGATTGGCTCACTCCAAGGCATTCATTCAACCTTAGAAGCTTGATTCCAAACAGTTGTTGGACTACAGTAGGGATGAACTACGATGTCTAACAGCTCTTGTTACAGGTCACTGTCATTTGAATCATCACATGCAGAGACTTGAACTGTCGGAAGACAGTGTGTGTCGCCTCTGTCTGGAAAATGATGAAACTGCAGGTTCTTTGAGTTCGGCAGATCCGTACTCTCACCATCTGAACTGCAAGACCACTCGCCATTCAAAATATTCGGCTTCTTCGAGAAGCTGGGTTTATTTGGCCTACCTACCTAGTGTAGCTCTTCCTAACTTCAATTTCATGTGTTGTTCGTTACGATACCTATAATTTTCAATCTGTGTTTGAAACTCTATACCGCCAAAGAACAAAGAAGTTGAACTGGGTATTGAACAAGTATATTTGGTTGCCTGTCTTCAGGTCAACTATTTGATTATACTTTCACGGTTATACTTTCACTCTTAGATGGCGACACAGTATATTAATAAACAATCCACTAACGAATTGAAACAATGACATATGGAGTATAAAAAATGTTATAACGAATAGTAAATTAGTTAGGGAAGCTATAGATTATGCTGCAGATGACTCCTACCGATATAGAAGACCCGACACTCTATCGAATGAGTGCAGTAAAAAATGGAAGATTGTGTGTTGCTTCTTAATTATATCATGGACTGAGTCATGGCCGGTGAGAGAAATCGTAACGTATCTTCACGAGTTTAAATATTTAAAATATGTTCAAGCAATTCACTTTCAAACTCCATAACTAACTGACTACGGTCCTGTATTTAGATGTTTATGCCTCGAATAATTCAACAGACTGATTTACTGATATATTCGTACCATCGGGTTAGACAACCAACTTTTCGTTTGTAGAAACATTGTTTTTCCAAGTACGGTTTTTTTTTCGGTTTGAGGACTAAGGATATATCTAGTTCAGGCCTTAAGGACAAGATTTTGTCGGTCGTTTTCTGTTCCTTTCATTCGAGGCCTGATTGGCGAATGTTCTACCGGTGAAAAAGTTATCGAAGTGCTTGAAAATATGGTAATCGATTGGTGAGAGGTCTGGGGGGTATGGTGGCTCAATTGATGATTTGTTCAACGTGCGGACGGTCGTTGTCAGAAACTTACAGTGAATTGAACCAGTCGCTGCCCGCTATACAGCAACCATAGTCTTTTTTGGCTGATTTTGCGCCTTTGGGAAGTGCTCATCGCTGTCCATATTGCCCTGAACGTCTGCTGTTGTCGTAGAGAATCCACTGATGGGTCAGTCTCCACCAGGATCCTCAATTCCTCGTCCTGTATTACTGTAGGTCGACCTCTTTTTTCGTTTTGTCAAAAAGTTAAGATCATTCAGTCCTCTGAAGATGATGCCAACCGATTTCACTGTACAATAGCTGAAAAACTGACTAGGGTTTTTCCAACTCCTTATGATCCCCTCATACACTGATGGAATATGTTTGTCGAAAATAAATTTACTTTGTATCCAACAGATGTGAGAGAATTGAAAAAAACAATAGGAACCATCGAAAACAAAAGGAAATTCGGAATTCAATAATGAAAAATAATGATAAAAATATTTGACAATCTTCCTAAAGTTACTTTGACTCTTTCAGTAGCAACGTTAATAAATGAATCTTTTGAAGTTGGTTATTTTACCAACTTCCTCAAAACTCCTATCAAAAGGTGGCAGTGATGGAGAATTCTCAACTTCATTTATTCAATCATTATAGCCAAACTAATAGAAAAAATAGTATGACTGATTTCTCAATGGCATGTTGTGATGAATGGTAAGCAATATGAATTCTAACCGAAAAAATGTACTAATGATATCATAGTCTTTCACGGGCGGTGTCTAACGTTTCCGGGTATATTAGCTGTGGTCTATAGGTTGATATACCTGAGGTTTCTCGTCTGCTACTGCGGCAGACATCAGCGTAATACCTGACGTTTCGTCTGTTGTCAGGCCTGACCGGCAGTCTACGGCTGATGAACCCAAAAACTTTGGACAAACAATATAATTCTCCTTAGTAAGCTTGATTTTCATCAGGTCTTCAATCCTCCATGTGTCACTATCTCCTAAAATACGGTATGTATCCAAATTTTTTATATTGCTGTTCAACTCACCGTTGAAAACAATCCTTTCTCGAAGCAACCTCAGATCATTCACCAGGTGTAGCTCTACAATTTTTCAACTTTCTTATATTATTGAAGGAATTATCAACTCATCGTTGGAAGCAATAAGTTTCCAAAGCAACCTCACATCATTCTGTAGGTGTGACTCTACTATTCCAATAAATATAAAGTGTCATAAATCTCACATCACAAAAAAGTTAATGTGCAAGAAATACCAAAACTCCCCATTCCTCCCTCATTCATCCTTTATCAGCTCATTGGAATTTTATATGACAAAATATTATGATTACTTCGTTATCAAAGTATTTTGTCGTTTACCATTTCCTGCTTGTGAACAATGTTCAGTATCTATTTCCACCGATTTCCTTTTGTTGAACAGCATTCAAGAGGTTCGTGATAAATCTGTGTCTATTCTCAGAAACGAGTGAATATGTGTTGCAGAGGAAAATGCATCAAGCAGTTCAGCTATTTTTGTGTAGGACTTTTTCTGGTGAGTATGTTTGTTTTGATTAAAGAGATCTTTGTGATCAGAGTTGTATAGAGGCGATTTATCCCTATGAACTTACTTTTCAAGCTCAGTCAAGTTGAAAAATTTAGTGATTGTTTCGAAAGTATGAAGCTTATTGGGAACAATCTTATTCAAAGCAAAAACTTCGCAAATCCTGTTTTACTACAACTCAACAAAATTTTTGATATCAAAGATTTTAATTGATGTCTTTGGTCTTTATTATTTTTTAAATATTTTTGAATCGAATAGACGTTTCCTCATTTTAATGAATGCAAAAAAAATTAAAGCACAAAAAATGCTCATTTTGAAGTCCTTTGATTTCATTTTTACTGAATAGATTGTAAACAAATATTACTGCAGTTTTATCCCAACACCAAACCATCATTTTAACACTTCGACACGTGTTTCGATCACCAAGTGATCATCTTCAAGAAGAGTTTACTCTTCTGGAGATCTAGAGATATCGAAGGAAATTATAGTGACTTTTATCTATCGATTCCCAGGAGTTTTCACTTGCTCTAATATGTCGCCAATTTGGATAAAATTCAAACAAGAAGATTTATATAACCTGTCACTAAATTTTCCTATTATAAATTTAACCTATATAATCCTGAATTAAAAAAAGAGTAGCGTATGCGAAATTATCTTTGTTTTGTTTCTGAAATCCTTAAAGTCTTTAAAGTTGAAAATTGTTGGAAAAAATTACAGTTTGGCATCCACAGTATAATGGATGTTGAGACTTCCATTTGACCACATAATTATCTGTAGGATGTAATTCAATATCTGTCGAGGTATTATCCAGGACGGGTGTTATACTTATCAAAAAGTATATGTATTTTGTTCGACTTCAATATCTTTTGTCCCGTTGATGGCGATATCTACGTTTTCAACTTGCAATCATATTTCGTTGAATTTTGAATGATTTTAAAAAATTACCCAGATGTTTTTCAATTATATTAACCATTTGATTATTTCCAGTTTTTAGCCATCTCAGAAATACTACTGGGAGCTTTCTCTTTGGTGATCATGCAACTCACCGAGACATCAGATATAAGATTGGGATATTCTTACGTGTCAGTACCACCTTTATTACTAGTTTCATCAGGAATTCTTCTCTTTTCACTGATTATATTGGGATGCTGCGGGATAACCAAAGAAGTCACATGTTGCGTGCATTTGGTAAGTGCGAGTAAAACTAGTCAGAGAAAATTAGTCAAAGAAAACTAGTCAGAGAAAAGAGTACCTAATGGGATTGCCCAAAAGAATTGAATTAAATCGAAATGAAATTAATTTGAATCAGTGCATATACAGTGTCACACATAAAGTCCGCATCAAGTGGGATTGTTTTTTGTTCATCTCTTCAAGCAACTTCTGATATCTCCATCAGGTTGTGCTTTAAAAATGATGCCAAATGACATGCATATGACCGATCAAGTGATTTTTCTTCCCTGTCAAATTTGACATTTTTTCCAAAAAATGTTCAGAAAAGCAGTTATTGCTCGAAATTTCGAAAATCGGTAAGGAGAAAAGATGATTGTTTTTCCATTTTTCACCCATATACCAATTTTTAGCTCTCTAGTGCAAATTTAGTTTTTTTACAGTTTTTCGAAAATTTGACATTAGCCGATTTCTCAAATTTAACCAAACCTCAACAAAGTTAGTGCTTTATGCCTAACTTATCTTTCCAACGCATTTTTATTGCCAATTGCAATTCTAAATATAACTTATTTCGCAAAAATTCAAAACAACAGAAGAAATTATGCCAAAAATGATGCAAAGTTGATACAGTTTTTAAAAACAGATAAATATTTCACTTTATTTCTACTGTTTGCGAAATAGCTTGATACATAAGCATGATTGAAAAACAATATCAATGTAAATTCAATAATTTATTCTTCACTGCACTTTTCAAACAGTTAAACTTTGATTTTGAGTTATCCCACAAGAAGAAATCTAGTGGGGTTATATCAGGAGATGTAGGCGGCCAAAAGTGTTCCATATTGCGACTGATTACTTTGCCCCTAAATATTTCCTATAATTTTTTCTGGTGTTTTAAATTTTTGCGAAATAAGTTGTATTTAGAATTGCAATTGGTAATAAAAATGCGTTGGAAAGATAAGTTAGGCATAAAGCACTAACTTTGTTGAGGTTTGGCTGAATTTGAGAAATCGGCAAATGTCAAATTTTCGAAAAACTGCAAAAAAACTAAATTTGTACTTGAGAGCTAAAAATTGGTATGTGTGTAAAAAATGAAAAAACAATCATCTTTTCTCTCCACCGATTTTCGAAATTTCGAGCAATAACTGCTTTTCTGAACATTTTTTGGAAAAAATTGGACAAATTGGACAGGGAAGAAAAATCACTTGATCGGTCATATGCATGTCATTTGGCATCATTTTTAAAGCACAACCTAATGGAGATATCAAAAGTTGCTTGAAGAGATGAACAAAAAAAAACCCATTCGATGCGGACTTTATGTGTGACACTGTATATAAATTAGTGGAGATAATTATTGGACTAATTGCACTAAATTATTGAAAATTATTGGACTTCATGTTGATGATAGACACTACCTTGCACTGACGAGTGGCCAAACAGCCCGAAACCGGTCTGCAAGTGTGTTCCAATAATTGAAAATCTATTGCGGCAGTTGTAGGTATTGCCAACAGCATTTGCAGGAAAAACTTCAGTGAAGAATCCTTCACTGACACCCGTCGGATATAATCCAATGCCGTTCGTGGTATTAGCCAGGAGAGTAGTTGATTTCTGATAGATATCAGTCCATTAACCTACAGTGTAGGGAGTTGAGACTGGCCTGAACAAATTGTTCCTTTAGATGATTTGAAAAAAAATTGCTGCAAGGATTTGTGAATGCTTATTACAAGTTTCATAACGATTCGTCCAATATTTCGCCGTTTTTTTCATCGGAGTTTTTCAATGAACTGAATAGTAATAAGCCTGAATTTTTTCAGTATTCCATCATACTACTGGTGTTGGCTCTTCTACAAATTGTTGTGGGAATTGTGTCAGTTTATCCCATATTAATATCAAATGAAGAAAAAGCCAGTTTGAGGTTTGAAATCACTAAACATTTGGAGAAACATCGAACTGCAAACTCTACAACTTTAGACAATATCCATTCACTGGTAAGATATCACACTTGGTATATAGAGAAATATTATTGAAGTTCTCGTTATATTTTATTTTCAGATGCAATGTTGTGGTAGAACTTTTCCAAATGATACGGTTTTTGATCTCTATGATTATTTGCCGCAGTCTTGCTGCGAGATTGATAATTCGCAGTGTAGCTTGAACTCTACCAGCCTTCATCAGTTTGGATGCACGCCTAAACTAATGGATTTCATAATTTTTCAAAATAATATTGTTGGTTTGTTGTCAGTATCATCTGGAGCTATTGAGGTGAGTGAAAATTAGGGTGTTTGAAAAGTTCTGTCCGTTTCAAAGTCATGTGTATCTGTAGCTCCATGTCTCAATAAATATTTATTCTTCTGTCTCGTGGTATATACTGCTAGAGAATTTTGTACAAATTCTAATTGTTCGCCTCTTTTCAGCTTGAATTTAGGCTACAAAAAATAACTTATGTCTACTTGTGGGTTGCTCCAAATACCAATGGATCCTAAACTTACAGATGTGCTGAAAATTCTCGGTCCTAAGAAAGATAATACGTTTTTTTTGTCTAAAATTGGCTCGATATAGAAGGAGCATTTTACAATGCAATACCTGAATCTATAGGATCATCTCTGGCTCGAAAAGGTCTCGAATCGACCATAACTGGCTTTAACTATGCCATGCTGGTAAACAGAACTGCAACTATGACTCTTCAAGGCGAGACCATTAGGTTCAGGGTTGCCAGAGGCTGGTCTCAAGGTGGGTTACTATCCCTCTTCTGTAGTCTCTTCTGAGGGATAGTCTGCTTGATGACCTCGACAGAACAGAAGTAGATCTGCAAGCTAATGCAGATGACCATCTCATATTGGCAAGTTCCTCGTCGAGAAGGATAGCTTGTTATATCCTCCAAAGCAAGATGGACGTTGTTCACAGTTGGTGTCTGAGGGAGCAGATGTCTGTTAACCCCAGCAAAACTGTGATGATCCCCTTCACCAGGAGGAGAAACTCTTTTGCCTCCAACTGTCAGTTACGAACTGTCTTATAAAGTACTGTAAAGTAAAGTACTGAATCATTAAAAAAAAGATTTCACTGTGAAAAACGGCTGGATCGGATGTAAATTTCTTTTGACAGATGTCAGATGTCTCTACCTAAAATTTTTTGCTCATGACGACATGTGTTTTCTTTTTCAGATAACCGCTGGCATAGCAGGACTTTGTTTGGGATATCGCTTACTCAAAGATGGTACGACTTCTTATGAAATGTAATAAATAAAATCATCGTGATAACATAGTTTTTATTTTATTATTTTGATATTATTTTGAAGAAAGAACCCTGGACAAGGCTAGTATTTGATACAAGATACTTTGAGGAAGATCTTTCTCTTGGAGATGATCACTAAGTGATCGAAACACGTGTTGAACTGTTGAAATAACGGTTTGGTGTTTGGAAAAACTCCAGTATTATTCATTCATATCTTCTCTAGGATTCCATTTTGGAAAACATAAAAAATTGTTATCTATCGTAGATGAGGATAGTCAGACAGTTTATATGAGAAGTAATGAATGTAGAAATGAACGGAGTCTGTTGAAAAAATTAGATGGATCAATTTATATATTGTCCCCTACAAAGTAGTCTTCCTCAGATGCCAGCGTTCTTCCAATCCTTGAAAACAGTTCTCTCTGGTATCTGTTGAGTAGGGAGGGTGGGTGTAGACTCACAGCACTTAGGCCACATGTTACCCATTGTACATCCTCCCAAGGAGTTGTCCTCCTAGGTCATCGTCCATCCTGTCCTTTCCAGGAAGGTGGACAGATCACTAGGAGACATCTCCTTTATATTGGAGGGTGTAGGCCGAGACTCACCGAACGCACACTTTCTTTGGCCACCTTGAGGTATCTCACGGTGGCCTCCGCGAATGTTTTGGAAGGTGCAGCGACATTACTGTCGTTGCGCGGCTTCTTCAAACCTTCTTGGGGTTCCCTTCGAGGAGGTGCACAAGTGAGGGAAGTGTAGGGGCAGCTGATTCCTTGGCTTTATCCAAGGCGGAGCTCTTGGCGCCCGCCACAGGAAGTGCCCTTGCTGTTGGAGGTGATTTGCTATGTCCAGCCTCATTCCAAGTGGTGGACATTTCTGTTAATCCCCAGCCACAGCCTTAGATTGAGGTCAGCACTTCTGTCCAGCCTCGGGATTGGTTTTTGTGTTTGTTTTTTCTGTTTTTGTGTTGTTTCATTCATGTGTGTTCCCACGAGTAGCAAGGGAAGAGTTGTTCACCTCTGGCAGAGCTCCGCATTATCAGAGGTAGGATGATTACAATGAGGTTCCGCCCAGTTCCGCAAGGGGGGATTGTTCGTGCCGCATATCACCCTGCGGCCATTCAGCTGTCGGCACGAATCCTTACACCTTAGCTTGGGTAGGCTGGTCCATGGTGGCATGATTTGCAAAGGCGTTTGGGGGGTTTTGATTCCCCTCACCCTACTTATCTCTGCCACTGACCAAGAGTCCGGCGACCCCGCCGTTAGACCACATCGGCTTCCCGGACAGGGCCTCCAGTCCCCTGGTTGTTCCCCTGACCGCCGGATAGGTAGCCCAACCCACGGGCCTCGAAAACTGATGCATAACAGTTCTGATATGCATCAGTTTTTGGTATATCCTCGATTTCTCTCAGCGATTCGATTTTTATCTCCTCAATCGTCGCAAAACGCCTTCTATTCGTGGCTCTTTTCAATCTTGGGAATAGAAAAAAGTCGCAGGGCGGCAAATATGGGGAATACGATGGTTGGGGCATGATTACGGTGTTCTATTCGACCAAAAAATTACAAACAAGCATTGACGAATGGGAAGGGATTCAATACTCCTTATTGACTGTACGACCATGTGGCAAGAATTCCTAACGAAACATACAATAGGCAAAACGTTGACGTTTGATCGTGCTTTTCTTTGGTCTTGGCCTCACTGGGCTCTTCCTTTGGGACGATTAGACTTTCAAGCAAATCTGTATTGCCATCCAGGGCGAGTGTCGTCATTCACATCTTCTCTGACTTCTGTCAAAAACTTGTATCACTTGTTAACATTTTTCTGACACAGAGTACAATCACCGTATGCCACTGTCTTAGTTCGAGTGTTTTTGAACACTTAATTCTATTTTTCACACAAAATTTTATGAAAATTCTTTGATCCACTGTTTTCGAAGGCAGAAAATAGCTGAACACGCAAAACACTGTGAACATATGAGCGAGACAAATGTACCAACATAGAAACATGAAAATATCGCTAATCAAATCTACGTAGCCCGGGAAATTTGCACAATCATCTTGTTTTTCTAATATAGCTCGTATATTTTCTCATTGGAAGAGTTGGATCTACTTCAAGTAAACGTCCCTTTCAATTTTTTTTAAATTTTACCTCCTTTTCTACTGTTTTTATTTATACAGTTTCTTCAATTAACTACACATATAATTGTACGCATTTCTCACTATGTATTTTTACTTGTACCGCCCTGAAGATGACTTTTTAGAAATCAAAACGTCGCTGTCCTTGCTCAATAAATATGGTGAGTTCACAAAACGGCATTCAAATGAATAAAGAGGTTTTTCCACATGGTGCAGACATTATTGAGCCTTTGTATATGTGAAAAATTTATGATAATGTTGTCGTTTATTGAAAAATAACGAAAATCTGTCAACAAGTCCACAGTTTGCGTATATCGATGACGCCTTACGCAAAGACCACGGACCATTGGAAATTACAGCCAGCTTATCATTGTTATTAACAACTCTCTGAATTACCACTGTTCAAAGAAGGAAACGATTACACATCTCTTTAGTCAGTAATGACGTCGAATTGCAACATATTGCGGAGGGAGAGGCGAAATCAAATCCAAACCAGTTTTTCAAGCCTCAGTGGAAATCTATAGTCCAGTCAAAACGGTCGGAAAAGGTGGTGAGCCCACAGTAATTCGCATAGGGCTGAAAATTTGCACAGGTCTTGAATATGTTATAGTGAATACCATAGCAAAAGTCACCACATGCGTCCCTGGGGGCTAAACAAAAAATTTAAGCTCGAAGGTCAAAAGAATATCTTTTGGCGTCCATTCGAAATAAATTGTAACTTTCTGGAAAGTATGTCAACTCAAATCACTAGACTCTGTTTTTGTTCTACAAAAGTAGTGTTGGTGTAAAGCTAAGCGAAGACAAAAGAATGCTAGTTACTGCTGGTTTTTCTATTTCAAAGTTGAAGAACATTCGATGGAAGTTGAGGCTACCACATCCCCTGTGAAATTCGCCGGAGCATACATATAATTTGAAACTACTTAATTCTTGTGATCGAAGATTCCAAGAAGAAGAACAACTATCTTGGCTCCTGCCAATATTAGCAAGACTTTTGTTACACTATCAAATTCAAATGTGGCTGCGCAATTAACTTGACCTAGAAGACTGAAGTTTAAAATTCATCGATGATGGTTTGGAGACAAGTTGATCCAGAGCAACTTTTGAAAACCAGTTTTTGCAATTGTAAAAAGATAGTAGAGAAAAATGTGTCGGCAAAGACATTTGATCTGCTCGTTCACCGATATTGAGGGAAATACCTTCAACCAGTGTGATTGCCTATTCCTGCATAGTGCTAATCTCTGTGTATGAGCTCAGCTGCTCATGTTTTAAGTCATATTGATTACCATTCTATACAATATGACTCAGTTGAAGATTCGCCCTGACTTTTTCCAGTTCCCATGAAGGAATTTCTCCAGGGCTGTACGTATAAATCGCTACAACTGACTACTGAGTAGAGTCCAAAATCTCTTGGAACCTTATTTGTGCTGGTCTTGTTCATGGGTCGACCTTCGTAAACGTAATCAGTGTCTCTTTTGAGTGTTGGGTGATTAGGCTGCGCTAGAATTTCAGTTTCAGCAGAAAGTCGGCTGATTCCAAAATCCTCTACTTTCTGTCTTGATGCTGTACCTTGAATCAAGTCTAGCTTTTCCAATCAGGATTTCGGTGTTGAGCTAAATATCGAAAGCCATAGTCTATTTTCGAAAGAATGAGGAGAAACACCTCTCTATCACTTCCCCAACGAATATGTACCAGAGCTCCCATCAGATTCAGTAATTTTTTACAGCTGAGGGTCAAGTTATCAATATGTTAGGTCCATGTCAGTTTTTCATCGAGGAGCAGACCCAAGAATCTTGTAATTAGTTTGCATTCTGAAGGTTTACCATTTACTCCAAGTATAGGTCCTTGGTGGGGTTTCCTCAATCTGCAGAAGTGGACATAGTGTGTCTTGGACTTGGAAAACTTAATTTCTTGAAGCTTTTTCTGTTTTAAAAGTTTATCGAGTGTTTTTCATTGGGTAGTCTATTGGTGGAGCTGGGTACAATATTGTCAAATCATCAACGTATGAGCTTCGTCCTACCTTTCCTTTGACGTTATCAAGCAGGGGGTTTATAGCTATTGCGAAAAGGAGAACGCTCAGTATGCAACCTTGTGGAACCCCGTTTCCTAGACATATCTATTGTGGAGAAAATCTTTACGAATTCAAATTGAACAAAAGCGCTGCTGAAACAGACCAAAAAGTATCCAGGCGTTTAAATTGAGAGAGTAACAAGGTCAATTACATAAATAAGGAGAAAAATCGGGCCTAATACTGATCCTTGTGGAACGCCCCATAAAATATCCTTAGTGTGTGATAGTTTTTCGTTTGATTTCACTAAGCACTAGTATTTCATCTTTTGCAAAAGAAGTTCATGATTTACACAATCAAAAGCTTTGGAGAAATCGCAGAATACTGCAGGTATGTCTTCACCATTGTTGGGATTTGTGTAGAGATGTTCAAGGAAGGAAAAGATTGCATCATTTGTGTCTTTTGCCTTCTGAATGCCAAGTTCACAGCTGATTTACATATTGTATTTATAAAGAAAAGCTAATGCCTTTTTTCACCATTTTTTCTATGATTTTTGAGAGTGTTGAAAGCATGGAGATGGGTCTGAAGTTATTTGGATCTTCTGCATTACCGCCTTTGAAAATAGGAATTACAAGAGCTGTTTTAGACACGGAGGGAAATTTCCAAGGGAAAAGGATTTATTCATAGCCATCACTAGTGTATTTATAATTTCATCAATGTCCGTTGCATTTTTGTTTTCATTTTCTTGCAAGATTTCTTTCAGCTCTAATAAATTTGTGTCTTCAAAGTGAAAGTTGTTGGGCATATTCACATTATTTAAATAATCCATAGGATTTGAAGTAATAACAAGGGATGGAGTTTTTGAGCAATTGTGCAGTAAAAATTATTGAAACACCCAATATCTGCGAATTTGTTCAGGATGCTATTTTCAAGTAAGAATCTTATATCTTTTTTGTACCTTGGGAGCTGTCTGACTTGTCCATTTAGTCCAAGTCTCCAAAAAACACTGCAGCCTCTTGGGCTAATTGAGTTTATTCTCCCATCTTCTCATGACACCCATTCCATCAGTCTCGTTCCCTGTACTAGTTTGTACAGGTTCCGTGTTGGATGTCAGTCATATTCTTCTGGACGTAATTTTGTACGTCCATATATTGCCTGCCTTCTATGATTCAGTGCCTCACATTCGCTTAAGATATGTAGAGCTGTTTCTATCCCTTCGTTGCATAATCTGCAGCCGAGGTCTCCATTGTACAGCACCATTTTATTCAGGTGTCCTCTAAGCGGACAATGACCGGTTAGTAACCCTGTAATTATTCTGAGCCAATTCCTACTATGTTGAAGTAGTTCTTCGGTTCTTTTCTCGGGCGGTTTCCTACTGAAGGTTCTACTGTGTTTGTTGCCATAAGGTTAGTACTCTAGAAAGACGTGGTTACTGGTTTACTAAGAGCGCCATCTCTGGGTTAGTCTCGGGACTTATTGATCCATGTAGTATAAAGTTGATGGTCTGCGTCTAGGGCATTCATCAGTTTTATCATTACCTGTAATTCCTGAATGCCCTGGCACCCAGTACAAAGTTAATGTGTTCCTGTTTGCAAGTTCATTCAGTTTTTCATGGCATTCCTAGACCAGTTTTGATATCACCTTCGGGTTTGTCAGAGTCCCTAGTGCGCTCTTGCTGTCTGTTAAAATATTGATCCGCTCATTCCTTCGAGGCCTCAATTTGATAAGACTGGACACTGCAAGATAGCATACACTTCCGCCTGGAAGACGGATGTGTATAGTCCTAGCGGATGACTGTAGTTTAAATTTCTATCCAGCTTCCGTTCCATGTTTGGTCTTCGATCCATCTGTATACCAGGTGTTTTTTCCAAACATGTTTTCGGGATGACTAATGGTCTTTCACTCTTCACGGCTTATGATTTTGGTCGTGAAGTTTGTGTTAAAGGTGTACTTCGGTGTCATGTGGCACATATTCAATATGTCCTCCACCACTTGTTCCGAAATTTCTGTTTGGTCCAGTCTTTTGTAGTTCGGTGAGTTCTCCAGTCTGAATTGTCCCATCCTGGCCTCCCCCATTATCACAAAGTGTACCGGAGGTAGATTCAGTTGTGTCTCCATTGCAGCTGTTGGGTTACTATTTTCAATAATACCGTCAATGAGGAAAAAGCAAGAAAACGATATTTTTACCTTCGACCTTGAATAAATTGTTCGACGCCCTAAGGATCTTCAGGGACTTTCGATGTTGTATTCATAAGAGGGTAACTGAGACCTTTGTCGATTTTCAGGTGTATACGAATCATTGTAAGTGAAAAAGTGAATTTTGACTGGACTATAACAACATTAGAGCGATAGTCAGCCACGGCCAATCGAGTTCGGGTCAGTTTGAAGCGAAAGCACGTAGCGAAGTGAGTTCCAGACCAGCGCCATTGAGATTGTTAGACATCTAGTATTGTGTACAGAACGAAAATAGTCGGTTTTCGAATACAAACCGTACACTAGCCAAACAGTGTTTGTTCGTCAACGAAGGAGGAAGTACGCGTCTGATTTCTGTGCCTTGTTTACATTTGAGTGTGAGTAAATTGTGTCAAAATGGGCTGTGCCACTGGGATAGTGAAATATCTGGTTTTCCTGGCGAATTTAATATTCGCGGTGAGTAGAATTCATTGTTTACGTTCCTCGAATTGTTTACATTAGCCCCCAGGCCATTCGAGCAACAGGTGTAGTAATTCGAAACCGTTCTGCCTAATGTGGGAGGCCGCTTGTTTAAAATTATCCGAATAAGATGTGAGGTCACTCTTACAATTTAGGATTGTTTATCGAGTTTTCTTGATTGTTGAGCGGAGAGGAGAGTGTATACAGGGCCTTCGTAAAGAACTAGCACTGATAATCCAGTCAATTTAGGTTCAATCTGCGGAAAAATTCCTAGTGTGCTGAATTTTCGTATACACCTTTGTTACGGCGTTGTATTGGAGATGTGAGAAATTTACAATGATATCGTGTCGGTTAAAAAAGTTATGAAGGTCGAAAGTCACGAAAATCAGTTTTTTGCAAATATCTCGCGACCTATCACCGGGAGGTTGATGGAGGTCATTATAAAAATTGTTCGTCGTGAAATTATCTACAAAAAATATCTTTTACATGTTTCTGTAAAATCAACCGTTATTGGAGTAGAGCAATGAGAAAGCACAATGAATGCATTCACATTTGGTTTTGTATACCTCAAGCCAGGGCGAAATATGTAGTGCTTTTTATCGATGTTTTTGCGTTTTTTTCATTTCGGCAGCTTTCCATGTATGCCTAAATCAGGGTTACTTACAATTCAACAACAAATTTTACAAATTGGTCCAGTTTTAGAAGACATATTTATGAACAGCTTGGAGACCAGGATAGTAAATTCCGACGTGGGTAATAAACATATTCATTTATTAATGAAAACATTATTTGAAAATTTCTTTCTTTCTTTTCTAACATGGACAGATATATTTTAAACTTTGTACACTTATCAGGAATCGGTGGCAATATGATAATTTCATAAGTTTATCTCATTAACATAATTATTATCAGAATAAACTATTTACAAAAAAAAATTGTAAAAAAGCGTGGGTGCTATTTAACAGTATGCAACCTTAATGAAAATATAATTCAAAACACCACACGTTTTTTTACAATAAAATAATTTTTTTGTAAAAGGATTCATTCTGATTTCAGACCTATCAAAAGTCAATAGTTACATGAAGCCATAGGACTAATTGTCTGAAATATTGATGATGAATAGAAATTGCGAAAAACCCATGTAAAATGAGATATTTGCAAAAAAAATTGCAAAAAATCGTTTGTGGCACTTTTAGCTTCAGATTTTAATATTCGCGTACACTCTACTATATGCAGATTTCGAGACAACTTTTTGGATGTCAAAATATAAGTTTATACGAGTTTATAGCTGGGTATCTCAAATTCCGAGATGAACTTACAAAGATGACTGGACTAAGACGCGAAATCTAAGTCGGTACCAGATGCCCATTGCTCATTGGGTTTCATCTTAACGAAACAATTTTCATTGTTACCGGTTTGTTACTTTTGTACAATAATTGTATTATTATTAAAAACTAAACCTTACAACTCAATAATGATCGTTAAATGAAGATGAGAGTCATAAATTAATTCCATTGTTATTATCTCCTACATCATATTTATATAAAAGTGACTACCTGTTATACCCATTATTTACTATTTTTCCACCAGAGATTATTACGTAGAAGGGTGTGGATTAGGACCTTCATCACTGTCCATAGATCAATCTCCAAATTTTTCGATTTCCATGAAATAAAAAGAGTCTTTATGTTGTACCTGAGTTTATTATACTTCAGAGTCTCTTTTCTTTGCATTTCAATTATTTTCGGTTCGCTATTACTACCTAAATGGTCATTGTCGAAAACTGAAAATTTGAAAGGGAGTACCTGAATAATACACCTTCATTTACATGGAACATTATCATCCTCAGTGACGAACATCTTGTGAATTATATGTAGATTGATCAACAGGCTTACTTTCGATTGAATTTGTCACTACAAACAAAACTGCATAAAATATTCAATATCGACCTTCCCAAGTACCTTCAACGACTATGGCAATTTTCATGGTACAATCCACCCATTAGCATGCTCAACAGGCCCAGTTGACTCACGTGTTTTTTCTCGCGTGTCACAATAAGTCGATGAAGGTTGAGTTTCTATGATGTCTTGTAATGGTGACATTACCGCGATACCTTTGTCATTGTTTGAATTTAAATTTTATACGCCGGTAGTTCCTTTCTCAAGTTCACTGAATCACCTCAGAATGTTGGGAATTACTGTTTTATGAGCTGTCTTGTTGTTGTAGGAAACAAATAAAACTTTAACCTTGGTAGGGGTCGAAATTTGTCATCTTTTCCTTGATATCTGTATGATAAATTGACCTGGAGATGATACTATTATAGTAGTAGTCGAGTCCTGTCATTTGATACCCATATTGACGTAGTAGTGAAAAAATATGTAATCCGTCATTTTGTAGCGGCAGCCATCTTGGATTTACGATAATACATAATTTATTATATTGAATTATCATCAAAACTAAATATGTGTACTGAATATAACATCAATTTGTTAACAGGAAGGTGATCAAACATTTTGCTTTCTGTTGATCCCCTCAATTCCAAAACAAAGACTAAAATTGTGGGTTTTGTGAATGGATAATTCTCTAGAGATTCATTCCTTCATGTATAAAAGAAAGACTTCTCCAAACTCAAAAATTTGACGAATATTTATTCAATAATTGAAAGTTTGAGTTGGGTTTTTAAGGTTTATTACTAGTAATTCTGAACACAAATAATTTTGCAAGCATCTATTATGTGGGATTCTCCGAAAAAATTTCGAAGTCATTGTTAATCAGTTTAAAAACATATCAAGCTCACTTTTGAAAAAAACAAAACGTAGTAAATGCGGTTTTTTCGATTGGTTGGGAAAGGGATTGTCTGACACTTATATTTTAAACGTTTTTTTGACATGGATAACTAATGTTTGAACCCTGATGATGGATTTAATGAAGTCCGAAACGTTGGCATAAAACTAAATTGTTTATCTACGAGTATTTATTGATCCCTTTCCCAACCAATCGAAAAAACCGCATTTAAAAATATTTTCGATCACCAAACCAGGCTAAATCATAGTAGATGATGGTTCATTTTGTAATGTAAATGCTGTTGCTATGATTCTTATATTATCGATATTATCTCTTAAGGATAAACAAATATGCACCGATTACACTTATATATCCTTTTTTATTCCCAAATACGTGACTTCACTTGAACAGAACTTATACTGTCATAAGGAGTGAAACAGAAAGTAGTTTATACTTACATAAGCAAGTGTGAATGGTGGTTATGCGGAAACAACAAACGTTCTGAGCATTTTTTCGGTATAAAAATTATTTCAATAAGTTTCGTAATAACACCATCGATGGTGAAAGTTAAACTATGAAAAAACTATTTTTATCATATTGCTCCAGTCACTGCTACAATTATTATTAATTCATGGAAAAATGATGAATGAATTAGCGGGTAGCTTATAAAGTCTGTGACAAAGATACATCATTTTTCTATCTGTTTGATTCAATATTTGCCAATTTCTATCTAGTTGTTTGCTTGTGTCTTTTTGCTTGTGCTTTTTTGCTTTTGTGACGAACTGTTTGGAACCGTTGGTGTAGTAATGAATATTACCAAAGTTCTATCGTGTTTTGCAGAAAAACCATTCCATAGACTTCAGTTAGTTAAGATTAGCTAGACAAGTTAACAACAGGCATATAGATGCCTATAAGACCAATGCCAATAGGATCAATAGTTCACTATATAGCTTGTTTAAATTATATTTTTGGTTATCAGACAAGTAGATGAGGCAACATTGTGAAATTAATTTTGAGACAATCAGGACGCAGGGACCAAGCAGAGGTATCTATGGTATATAAAAGACAATTATGTAAATAGATCTATAGAAACTATATTGCCTCCCAAAAATCCATAAACCGGGAAAATCAATGCGCCCCATCATGTCAGCTATTGGAGCTCCTACCTACCAAATAGCGAAGTGGCTTACTAAGGAATTTGAAACCTTGTCTACTGCGGAACCAGGTTTTAGTATAAAAAACTCTTTAGAGTTCATACAATATACAAAAAACATGGTTCTGCAAGAAGGATTTTGGTTTCATTATTTTCTAGCGTCCCAATTCCACAGACCTTGCAATACCTCAGAGAAAAATAATTTCAATAACAACGAAATCGATGAATTCGTTTCTCTTACCAATTTGTGTATGAAACAAAATCGTTTCCAAGTAGAAGGTTGCTTTTATGAACAACAGGAAGGAACGACCATGGGAAATCCCTTGTCTCCCTACCTGGCAGACCTGTTCATGAGCAGATTCGAAATGGAAACTAAAGAAAAGTCAAAGTATTTTCCTAGGATTTGGCTAAGGTATGTGGATGATATTTTCGCGGTTGTCGGAGAGAGTGTGTGTTCGGCGAGTCTTGGCCTACACCTGCCAATATGAAGGAGATGTCTCCTAGTGACCTGTCCACCTGCCTGGAAGGGACAGGATGGACGGTGATCCAGGAGGACAATTCCTCGAGAGGATGTACAATGGGTCACATGTGGCCAAAGTGCTGTGAGTCTACACTCACCTGGTATCTACTGGTATCTATCTGGTATCTACAGATACCAGAAGGAACCAGAAGTGATTTAGAATTGGGGTGGAAGTAAACAGGTTTCTTTCAATACTACAAAAACCCAGGCAGGGCTTGTCTCCAAGAAGAAAAATGTCTTCGAACTGGATGTAATAATGTCAAGTGAGACAAAGTTCGCCAGTTCGAAGGCCAGTTATATTGTTGTTTATATATTTTTTGTGTAATGTTCGTTTGCTTTTATTTTCAAGTTTTTTCAAGCTAATTAACATAGAGATGAATGTTAGAATGAAATTGGCAATGATGACAAAATTTCATTGCATGTTACTAATTTGTAGTCACATTCCCATTTACAGCTCAACAAACATCGAGACGTGTCATAATACAGGGTCATTAAATAGTTTTATACAGTCAAACTTTGAAGAAAGTCTACCCAGTTCGA